TCACTAGCCAGAGAAGTAGGCTTTGATTAGTATCATGCCAGTGGGCACAGCAGTATCACACTAGGCAAAAAGACCCAGATAAGAAAAAAAAAAAAGATATGCCAGTAGGCACACTAGGCAAAAAGACCCAGATAAAAAAATAGCAGAGGATTACAAACACACCAAAAAGTTGTAAAATAGGAATTTCACCCTGTTAACACAAAATAAATCTGGATTGTTTGAAAATACCAAATTTGAACTCCTCATACAATCACAGAATTTTCTGAAGTACAATATCATTAGAAGATTCCTCAAAAGAAAATAATAGGTTGTGCAGTTTATTTCCTAAGCCCAATAGGAAAGCTTACCTTGAACTTGAAATAATAATCAACAACATCAATAAAACTTGAATAAAAAGAATGAAAAAGTAACTTTTTAAAATATTTTATAAGAACTGAAACATAACAGTGTAGTTTAACAGCGCGACAAACCATGCAGAAGTTTATAGTTTCACCACACGTGTTAGAACCCACCTCAAGATCAGAAAAAGGCAAGCTTCAGCACCACTTGCACGGCTTATTTCCCAAACCAATCACACCTTTTCGGGGAGTTTTCACTTACCTGTGCAACAGAAAAAGGCAACTGGCAACTGTTTGTTGAGGACTTCTACTGCAATAACAGAGATGACTTCACCTGACCTTGGAGGCCAAGCTACAAGGATCAGTCAGTCTTGGTGGCACTTTACACAGCAATTCACAGCACAAGAAATCTACAAGCTGCTTCAAATTTCTTCCAAAATTTATTTGGTTCAGACAAAAAAAGTCACTTCAACTTCCACTCCCTACCCTAACCCCCAAAACCAGTTCGATCTATTTAATAGAACTGCAGCCTTCCTATTTAAAATTCTGATACAAAGTTAAGCGGGATAACCAAAGTATGCATTTTACAGTAAAATTAGTTGAGCTTTCAGATCTGATAACTTCCCGTAAAAAACATGCAAAACAAGTTTGGCTGTCTAGCTCCAAATTTCTTGCCTGCATTGACATACTAATGAAGAACAATAGAGCCATGCACTTCCCTTTGACAGCTGCACCCAGGAGAGTTTAAGGGACAAAACCAACCAACCAATCAACCAGAAACACAGCAAAAATGAAGAAACCCAACATCAGATGTAATTTAGATTTGTATTTCCCAGACCATGAATATTTTATGTATAAACATTCTGCCTTTTCAGGAAAATCTCACAACAACAACAGGGTTCTGTAATAATTATACCATAATTATTTTCATACATTTTCTGTAAAACTATCCCTAGCAGTTAGGCAAACATTGGCATAATGATCAAAAATATGAGAGTCCCACAAGAAAAAGGATTTAATGCTTCTAACGCTTTACATACAGCTTAATCAACGTAACTGAGAAGCTAATTTTGCAGTCAGAGTTATGTTTTTTTCTACGTCGCAGCTTACTAGATACTGCTCTATGTGTAACCAGCTAATTAGACAAGAAAACCAAATGGGTACCAAACAAGGGCAATCACAAGCATCCTTTTTCAAGGGAAGGCACCTTCAAAGGAACCATCACGAGATAGGTTAAGTGCTCTCCTGCGGCAGAAAAGTTCAAGGTGGTATAAAAATGGGAGCCACTGCATGCTATAAATCAGGTTCAACTTATGTAAAGAGTGTGCTTTTCCTTCTTATAATGAGACAATCTGCCCCTGCACGGGAGAAGCTAACAATCCAAGTGTCTTTGATGTGATTCATGTGAAGCTTTATTTTCAATTGGAGCAGCTTTGTTGCAGGCCCAGCCCTTTAATCCCAAAGAAAAATCTAAGATGCCTTACCTGAAAATGTAGGGGATTTTAATAGGCATTCTCAACTAATCTGTCTAGATAAACAAATAGCCTTGTTTTTATTCTCATCCTGGTCAAATAAAACTACCTGCTTTATTTCTAAATATATTATTTAAAATTATACAACCAAAACCCCAATGGCTACGACTTTCTCTTCAAAGTGTGAAGATCTAATGTAGTGTTGATAAAAATGAAAATAAAGATTTTCGTAAAAGCAGCGTGCTGCTAAGTTATCTTCAGAAATTTTAACTGTCTTCATAAAATGTTACGTAAATACACATAACTAAAAGTAATAAACTACCAAATATTTGTACCAATGCATTTAGGAATACATCTACATTCTTTTCAGACCACGTAGTGGTCATGTAGTAATCATTCATATTCTCTTAAAGCTTTCTTATTGGATGTGTAAAAAAATGGTTATCTTTTCTTTAATCTTTTCTCAAAACCATATAAAAAAAAAAAGGTTATCTTTTCTTTAATCTTTTCTCAAAACTATAATTTTCAATCTACAACAAACCACAGGGACAGAATCCAAACTGCAGACTTAATCAATTGCCAACTGCAAAAAATATTCTCAAGAAATCACATCATTTTTGGAGAAGGTAACACAGGGGAATAACAAGGTTGTTTTCCACAGCACTCACTGTTACCTTCAGTACCAGCAGAACAAGACCAAAGACAAAGCTTCCACGTGCCTCAGTGAGTTAAGAATTAAGCCACCAAGGAGGCTTTTTTGCTGTTGTTTTTTTTAAAAATCTATTTGTAATCTTGATTTCTGTAAAATTTGATTTGTAAAGTTGATTTCTGCGAGGGAAAGGTCTGGCTGCAGGGCTGTATCCTCATCAGCAGAGTTCTCATTTTCTGAAATACCATCTTGGGGAATCAAGCACAGATATGATAGCGTTTGGCACCTCCAAGTTAGCGAAGAATGAAATCCCGTTAAAATACTTCAATGGCTTTAAAATTGGCACCAACCATCTGAAGAAATAAGGTTAGAAACAGCTTAACCACATACATGTTTTAGAAGAGCAAACTACAATGAAACTCGTCCACTTTTCCACTTGCATCTCAGGTTAGATTGAGTCATTTCATACGTCACCGTTACTGTGTTTGCCCTTACCACAGGGTTACTTCCACTCTCCATATGAAATAACTCCTTCAACTTAACTTGAGAAAACAAGCCAAAGGCACAGACCAATATATAGAACATTAAAATGTGCTTTAAAGAGACAAAAACAGAGGAGAAAAAGCCATGCAAGGGATGAACCGAACTACCACTAAGCACTTTCCATGCTCCCCAAAACACGTATGAATGCTTCCAGTATATTTCTATAACTGTCCTCATGCAACTTGGGACTTTAAAAAAAAATAAATAAAAACATACATGTTTGAAATCAACTCTAGTCAGGCAATTTAAGACTGCTCTGATGGTAGAAAACACACCTGACCTGCATCATTCCAGTTTACATGGGTTTGGGGTTTCTTCCTGTTGGGAGGTAACTGGGTATTGTATTGCAAAAGCAACCCAAAAATGCATTTCACATGCTGTTGACTGAATGGGTGGGAAATGTACTGCCAAGATAGACAAGTCTCCTGAGTGCAACATCATCTGTAATCATAATTAAACGATACAGTGCTGGTAGCATCTGTTTCCTCTCATCCCCGAGGGGCTTATATGTAGCACTTGAGGTGATCTCAGTATATTGGTCAAAAGGGTTAATTATTCTACAATGGGCAGCAGAAAAAACTAACACTGAGCAGAAAAGTATCACTGAAGAAACGTACATTACTGAATCAACGGCCAGCAGCTGAAGAACAGATTCACAGCAGGCTGCTAATGATGAGACAAAGATTAGAGCTAGACACATCTTGCTGATAAGCACACCAACTCAGAAATAATAATGCTGAGGTAGCACATGCTAGAATGGATGGTGATGGTGTAAACAAAAAAGAGAGAAGAAAATTATGAAGATGTAAAAAAAGATGCTCTCAGCTGATAATTATTCATTCTACTAAGTATTTTAAGTTCTGTGAGTTAACCATAGCAGGGGGGGATGGGGAAGGGGGAGCTTCTTTCAGATCACAGTTTAGCAGATGAGGGTTTTATTCCCCCCTCCTTAAAAACCATCTCTAGAGAGGTCTGTGTTGTAAAGCAGTCCATAAAACTTGAGGGTTTTGAAGGGGTCACGTTCACAGGGCCAGACACATGTATTCTGTTATGACGGTTAAACTTATAAAAATGTGTCACTTTGAATTGTGAAAATGAAGTATAACACAGTGAGATATGTTCGGTTTCCTAATGCCTTAAGAATATTTTTGTTCACTGTATAGTTATCACACACTTATTTCTGCAAGGCATGCTGTTTCTTGTACATGTCAGCTGAAACGACAGCAGCCCTATTCAAAGACAGATGATGTACCTCCTGCTGCGCTAGCAAACAGACACTCAACAAGACTTGACTTTCACTGCTAACAGGCACGGACATTGAACTTTGCAAATGAAGCCTCAGACTGAAAGAATGTGTCCAAAAAGCCCAAAGCTTCAGACTCCGAGTTGTAGTCTCTGCCTCTCAGCTTGATCGAAGCAGCTCTCGGTTGGCCTTGTTCTTTCCAGAGCTTTAATACAAATTGTGAATCAAGAAAGCCAGAGAATACTAAAAGCTCCTGCAACAAGACAGGAAGGCAACGATACCTTTTTTTCCATAAAAGGTTTTCTCATAACCAATTTCTTCTAAGATTTACAGGTCTCCAAGTCTGAAGACCAAGCTGCAGTTTCAAAGTGAGGACAGTTTTTATCCTCATACAGGCAACTGCTTTCTTCAGACTCTTGTTACACTTCAGAGTTAGAAATTCAGCCCATTCCTGTGTTCTGGTGCTACTAGTGAAAACGTAACAATTTAGGATGGCCCTCTATTTTTCCTTACTTGAGGCTGATGTAGAACAAGGGCTTGACACCAAGAGACTGTTGTTATTTGGGAAGTCTGAAACTGAAACAGTTTATACAGACACCTTATTTGATAATTTTGTGGTATTTTATGCTTTGTTTCTTGTTGCTAAATGTCACCTGGAATCTTCCCTTATAATGCAGTATCACCACACCCATATGCACTTCATATGCAAATGAAGAAAACAAAGTCCAACAATGACAACATTTAGTCCAAGGCAATAAAATGAAACAGATAATTTAATCATAAAATGAAAATATAAGCCAAACATCTAGACTGAGAAAGGAAGAAATGATGAAGTCAGTTATAAACAAACCCAACTTGTAAACCATTTATCTGTTGAAGATGTACCTGCTTAACATTCTGAAGACTTCATATTGCTCCATTCCTCTAAAACCGAAAGCGTTTGACTCTATCAGACATACCCAGCAGGTTCAGATTTAGGCTGAAGCAAAAATAACAGCAAAGGAGCAAAACCCTTTGGGCTATAGAGACAGTATCAGAGTACTTACGTGTCCTGTAATTCCATATATTCCCAGCAAGCACTAAGATGAACATCTTGGACAATTCTACCCCAAACAATAGTTAACTTTCCATTTGTAAGTATTGCTTCCCTATTGCAACAGGTTAGAAAGTGAAAAACCTACACAATAGGATTGTCAAAGATGGTGATAAATCTCACACAATCATTCAAATTAGTAAGAGAACTTTGGATTTCTTTCTGAAAATAAATCCAAAATTAGATAAGAGGTAAAGCAGATTATTTTAGAAAAAAAATTTACTAAAAATCGACTTAGTATATAATACTTGATTAGCACAACAAGACTTCACCTTAGAGCTTCACAAACCAGTTTAAAAATAACATCCTCGAAGTAAAAGAAACACACACCATAAAGAACTGTTAGCATCTGCTGGAGCAGCAACTCTGTTCTTTGCTCTGGCCTCATAGGCTATAAGGAAGAAATAGGCAATTATGAATGGACCACAGAACTTCTTTTCGTTTGGGTGGTAGGGAAGACCTACTTCCTGCTAAATGGAAACAGTCTGGTATCTTATGTTCCACAAATGCAATTTTATATAGGGCTTGGTTAAACATATTCTGAATATACTAATGTAACTTAAAAGAAAACAAAATAAAAAGAGGTATTATACTCTTAAATCTTCCCAAATATTGAATGCTGCTAATATGTTAAGAACTGAGACCCACAAAAGTTTAATGCTGTTTGCACTTATTTTCATAGAACAAAGAATCTATAATTAGGTAAAGTGATGGAATACATACGTTAAGCATGCTACAATACATTTCCTTACATGCTTCTACCTTACAGAATTCAGAACAAATTTGGTTTGACTTTATTCTTTAAGTACGATTTTATGTTACAAATCATAATTACCAGTTTGCTGTGCCTGTTATTAAAATCTAGGAACACAGATAATGATCTCTGTCAAAAAAAACACTTTTATTCCTACTATAATATTGCAAATCCGAAGGGATACCACCACATGACTGCATTTGAATTACAAAGTCTTTCCAAATACTTTTTCCGCGTTTGGAAGTGTTAAAAAGGTAACATTTTATTACGTGAGCATTCGAAGTATTGATGCATGGAGACAATAACGGAAGATTTCTTCTTTCCCAACCAGCACAAACAGATTAATTAGCCGCAGTTACGTCAGGGTGCTGGTGTGTGCCATTCTGTTCAGCCAAGGACAGGTGACGCCGTCCCATGTCGATGGGTCTTTACGCTACCACTGGAAAAAAAAACCAAAACAACACTGCAGTTAGGAAAACGGCTGGGAAGTAATATATTTAAAATCCCACCTGACGCGATAAAATGAAAGAGAATAAATGTATACAGCTCGGGAAGCTGGCAGGGAGCGGGGGAGAGCGGGGGAGCTCCGGCAGGCAGCTGTCAGTCAGCGCCCGCTCCCTCCCGGGGGAGCTCCCTGCGCCCGCAGACGGCGGCGGAGAAACCGCTCCTGGGCGTCGGGGCGGCAGCTGGAGCGTACCTGTCAATCATTGTCACTAATTATTAACTTCTGTCACTCAAGAGCCAGGCAGACGCGGCTCCGGCCTGATCCTCTGTGATTTGATCTGCTCCGCCACCTCCGAGACGGGGCAGTTCAACCCCCCGTTAACGTGTCACCGCCCCGGCGGCTCCGCGCTCCCGCACGATGCCGATCCAGCCGGAGCCAAGGACGGGCTCCGCGTTCAACCACAGCGGTCACTCACTCTCTGGAAGCCTTTGGAAGCATGGAAATAGCAGTTTCCGAAGTTTTAAGCATGGGGAAAAAACATAATCCAGGTAAAAGTTCTCACACGGCAAACTGCCCCTTGCAATTTACTAAAATGTTAATTATCTCATAGAATCGTCTAGGTTGGAAGGGACCTTCAAGATCATCCAGTCCAACCATCAACCTAACTCTGACAAAAAAAAAATAAGAAATATGCAATAATGTTCCTGTGCACACACACACGTTCCTGTGCAACCTGCTCCTGAGGACCTGCTTTGGCAGGGGGGTTGGACTAGATGTTCTCCAGAGGTCCCTTCCAACCCCTTATCATTCTGTGAAATAAAAAAAAAAAAAATCACTAAACCATATTCCTGAGGACCATGTCAACCCATCTTTTGAACACCTCCAGGGATGGTGCCTCAACCACTTCCCTGGGCAGCCCATTCCAATGCTGGATAACCCTTTCTGTGAAGAAATTTTTCCTACTATCCAATCTAAACCTCCCCTGGCACAACTTGAGGCCATTTCCCCTTGTCCCATCTCCTGTGACTTGGGAGACGAGACCGACCCCCACTTCTCTACACCCCCCTTTTAGGTAGTTGTAGAGCATGAGAAGGTCTCCCCTCAGCCTCCTCTTCTCAACAGACTTACTCTGTAAAGAGGCAGCTTCTTTTAACAGCCCTTATTCACAACAGTTAGTAAGGTTATGGGGGGCAGATCAGACAAGAAGGATCCCCCCTTCCTCTTTCATTGGCCAGAAAAATTACTATAAATTATCATCGGTCATTTCTGATTATTTGATGTTTGCCTGCATTTTTGGTCTTGGAATTATGGGTATTTTTATAAAAATTCCATGCAACAACATTGTTCATGTTCACTAAACAAAAAGGATCAATAACACTGCAGGAAAAGCACATTCTCTCTCTTTTTTTATATCTTCTAAGCATGCACTTGATACCTCTTTAGAAGTTCTACTAAGCCAAAGTCAATGCCGTACCCAGGGTTAATCAAGAACATTTATTATACGTAGCTTATGACATAAAAGAAATCATAATGCCTTCAGTACTTAAAATTACATAAATCCAAGAGGCTCCAGACACTTGTTATAAAACCAGAAAATGTCATCGTTTTTCTTCAAGCACCTCTGCTTTGGGAGAAGTCTTCTGCAGAGACCTATTTAAACAAAAGCATCGCTCTGCAGGCTCGCTCTCCGTCATTCTTACCATTGGCAAAGTTGTTAATGACGATGAGATTTGTCCAAGTAGAAAAAGTGGCATGGATTTTTAACAAACTACCACTACTATCTTCTCATATATTGGATTCTACCACATTCTAATACAAGAAAATGCAAAAATGCAGATATCAAAAAGGGATTCAAGCCACAGGTACAGATTAGGGGACAAGATCTCGGGAGAAGAACTGAGGAAAGCACTCCAATTTCAGCTTCCATTGCAATGTCGTGAAAAAATGGATGAAAGCAGTAACTGGGTGCATTTAAGAGTAGAAAAGACAAGGAGAAATAATGGAATTGTCAATTATTGCAGTTTACATCAATTAATCAAAGCAAGTGTAACACAAGTTCTGGTGTTCCTATTTAAAAGGAATAACAAAGACTTACAGAAAGAACCTCACCATTACAGGAGACTTGCAGAACTCAATGTTTTGTTTATGAAAAGACTCCAAGAACTAACGTCATCATCAAGTATATGGATCACCATGGAAAGAAAATGACAAATATTCTGCAAGCTTTTGAAGGCTGGTCTAAAAAAGAAAGAAAACAGAGCTAAGCATGTACAAATTAGACATAGGATGGAAAAAATCCAAACACCCCCCATCACCACTTTTTAATAGTAGAGAAGATCCAGATTAAACAGTGGATTGTCCACAGTCTCTTGGTATTTTCGAACATTTTCCTCTCCAGACAACCCAATTTAGCTGAGTTTTTAGAAAAGTTAATGTGTTCAAGTAGGCATTAAAGGTTGACATACAGTATTGGCCTTTCCCATTTCCATTGTTCTCTGTCTTTAAGTTTCCCAAGCTTTTAAAACGTAAGTAGTTCAGAACTGGTAAGATTTTGTTCTCATCTTAAATTATATTAAGTTCTTTGTCCATACCACTTAGCCTGACTACATCTCAAGACCTCGCTATGCCACTTTATTTCCTTTGCTTCAATTAAAAAAAAAAAGTAACCGATGAAGTTCAATTCTTAAAGACTCATGTTAGAACTGAAATTCCTTTGATTGCACTCATAAGTTTAAACAGTAGATTCTTCATTCATTATCTTCCCATTTTAATACCAGATGACTTTTCCATACCAAAGGATAGAGATCCTAACCAACTCAAGGGGCAGTACTTCCCTCCCTCCAACAAAAAAACCCACCCAGCAAACAACAACAGAAGAGATTTATTTAGGTATTTGTTTTTAAAAGCTCGTGACAATTTTAATGGGTCTATTCAAGATCCTTACCCACTTCTCTCTTAGAATAATTCTGACTCAAACACAATTCATATTTCGAATTGACAAACAAAAGAAATAAAAGGAAATCATAGCCGAAAAGGGGAACAGTCACTGAAAATTGCAAATCAAACTGATATTCCAAATCTTGGAAAAGTTTCATTTATTTCCTCCTACATGCCCATTTAAAAGAACATACATTTCGGTGCCTCTAATTATAAAAAGGACCACGAGACTATTTGTATTTCCTCTGGTTTAGACCCTGACCATCTGCTGTCATTACAGCTCAAAGTACATTTAATTTCCTTTCATAACCTTTGACAACAAGAAACACTAACAGTATTTTAGTTGAAGAAACTTTTATAAAATATTACAATCAAATCAATTGCATTAACACATTTGAATCTCTAAGTTCAACACAGTGGAAAACACAATACTTCTTTATTACATCAGCTGTCTGGTCATATATAAATCATCTATAACTACAACCAAAAGTATCGAGAGTACTATTTATCCAGAGTTAGCAAAAGGAATTATCTGACAGTTGAAAATGAAAACCCACTAATAAACATTACAGTGTATTGAAAAGTTTAAACAATGTAATTAAGGAAACCTTTGCAATAATCAGGAGTGTATGTGATTCTATTTTACCTTGCTAACAAAATTCCCCTGGGATTTCTTACCCTGTTATACAATAACTAAACTGGAATATTATGTTAAACAAGGGTCACATTCTACCTGTATTCAGAATATATTTAAAATTAAGAGATAATGCTTTTTCAGCGTATTGCACTTGGCAAAAACATTCGTATTTTCACTCAAATTATTTGCCCAAAGCAATAAACGGAACAGGAGGAAAGTCAAAACACCCTAACTAATGCCTTGGCTGTTTAGAGACTTAAGAGATGCAGTATAAAGACATTTAAACTGTCTTTTATAAAGTTTGTTTTTAAGAGATGAAACAAGAAATTCTTTAGAAAGACTGAAAACTCAGTGAGGTAATACAGTGATAAAGTGATGGGAGAAAACAGTGCATTTACCATATCTCCTGTTGTAAGAGGCCAGTAACAAAGAAAACCACGCAGTGTAATTCTTCAGGAAACAAACACCACTGAAAAGGAGAACTGCAGGACAAATAATGATTATGTTGCCTATACTGCTCATTTAGTGATTAGAGAATTAAAAACAAAAATCAATAAATCAATCAAGATATATCTGGGAATAACGTACAGGTAAGAGAGCAAAATTTGTCACTTATTGCCTCGGTCCAATTAATCAAGATATATCTGGGAAAAACGTACAGGTAAGAAAGAGCAAAATTTGTCACTTATTGCCTCGGTCAGTGGTGATCAAGAAATCAAAATATTATCAAGATACAAAAATTCGAACAGATGATTGTCACTGCATTGGCCTCGCCACGCAAGGTCTGACAGCAGCCCCACATCATCTACCTAAAAAACACCCCACTTGATTAGTATTATATTCCCAAGTTATACAGAATTACATGGTTTCTTTATATTTGCATTAAGCATAGGTTTTAAGCTCTATGTTGCATGACAAAATTTTCAAACAAAACAAAACACACACAGACAGAAATAGTATTTTCCAACCTCCAAACCATTAAAATTATTACCCAACGCCATTTTAAATACTTAAGGTTCAGGCTTGTATGCATCTGAATCGCCATATGCAGTCCTTTCACTTCCGTAGAGTTACAATGCAATGACACAAATTCATAAAAACACATCCAAATCTAGGCCTTCATTTAAACCCAGCCACAAGGAGGTCCAATTCTTAGTTCTGTACAACTGCTGCTTATGTCAAGTAGGTTGTCACAGGAATGTACAAGGGTGTTTGTACATTTCAAATTCATTTCCACAAAACAAGGCAAACTAAAGTCTCAGACACTCCCCACTTGATACTATCTTTGGTTTAATCACATCTCGACCTACAGTGCTTTTCTTCAAACCATTCCTGGATTCAATACATTTCAAATATAATCAGTGGAGGAAATGAGATGACAGAAGCATGTGCCATGACCATTGGTTTAGAGAACAATTTTCTCAATCTCGACAGTTCACACTTCCAAGCAAGACAATTAAAAATCCCAAGAACCCATAACTGTTGTTCCTAACATCACTGTGGGCACAGATAAGTTTTATTGGTTTGGTCATGTACGTAGGCTTAAAGAACCACACGTTCTCTCTCCTCTTACATCTTCAAAAACAAACTACCAAACTCAAAAATTCCAACCTCCAAACCATTAAAATTATTACCCAACGCCATTTTAAATACTTAAGGTTCAGGCTTGTATGCATCTGAATCGCCATATGCAGTCCTTTCACTTCCGTAGAGTTACAATGCAATGACACAAATTCATAAAAACACATCCAAATCTAGGCCTTCATTTAAACCCAGCCACAAGGAGGTCCAATTCTTAGTTCTGTACAACTGCTGCTTATGTCAAGTAGGTTGTCACAGGAATGTACAAGGGTGTTTGTACATTTCAAATTCATTTCCACAAAACAAGGCAAACTAAAGTCTCAGACACTCCCCACTTGATACTATCTTTGGTTTAATCACATCTCGACCTACAGTGCTTTTCTTCAAACCATTCCTGGATTCAATACATTTCAAATATAATCAGTGGAGGAAATGAGATGACAGAAGCATGTGCCATGACCATTGGTTTAGAGAACAATTTTCTCAATCTCGACAGTTCACACTTCCAAGCAAGACAATTAAAAATCCCAAGAACCCATAACTGTTGTTCCTAACATCACTGTGGGCACAGATAAGTTTTATTGGTTTGGTCATGTACATAGGCTTAAAGAACCACACGTTCTCTCTCCTCTTACATCTTCAAAAACAAACTACCAAACTCAAAAGAACCATTCGGCAAAAAATTTACAAAAAATTACAAGTTGCCAGTTGGCTCTGAAGGGTGCCTGAACTCCCCAGGCATTTACGTTTCCACTGGAGAAAATCCTAAGGCACTTTAATTCGTGCCTATCAATACTGGGTATAAAGTGGACAGACCTTCTCCTCGCTGTATTCTGTATGAGAAAAAAGACTAACCTGCCTTGGTTGTCTAATGAAGTCAGGCATCTGAATCCTTAACAAACCAGAACCTTAAGCCCATCATTTTCTTTGGCATTTTCTATTTGCTGGTTAAAGCAATTTGCTAAGTAGGCTGTTGTGGACCCCAGTTTTGGGCACTGGGTATTTTCTCTGTGTGGTACAAGGAAAATGAGATGCTTAGACTGGACCCCGTGTCAAAAGAAAAAAATGTAAGGTTACTGTTTCCAGCATCGTAACGGGAAAAAGGACAGTGTATTACATTATGTCACAAGATGTAAGAGATGGGAACTACAATGCTGAAATAACAGCCTACTGTATAACCAAGCTTCCCATGGTCCAGCTTGTGCTCGTTGTCCCTTGTCCTCTCACTGGGAACCACTTTTACAAGCTGCCAGTAAAAAAAGACACCTTTGTTGCCCTACAATGGACTCTCTCCAGTAGCTACGCAAAGATCCTGAACCAATGAGGAACAGAAAATAAGCGCAAGGTAGAAATTTTTTGTAATTAGGCTAATACTATAATTCCCGTGCTGGGATGCTGCAACACCTCAGTCACCTTTGTTGCCCTGCAGTGGACTCTCTCCAGTAGCTACGCAAAGATGCTGAACCAATGAGGAACAGAAAATAAGCACAAGGTAGAAATTTTTTATAATTAGGCTAATACTATAATTCCCGTGCTGTCACTGCAATGATGGAGAGCAGCACCAGAAGAATATTCACTCTAGTAATACCCTTCCTAGGCTAACAGGAAAATATTATTCTAATGTTGAAAATGAACATCCTGGCCTGTCCAAGTCAGAGAAGTATTTTACAAAACAAAATGTCAGAGTTGCAGCAGTTCCAGAAGGACATTTTTTTTTTATTCCCCAGAGAACCGAGGCTGGTAATAATGATAATAATTTTTATTATCGTAACAACAACAACAACATTTCACACCAAATAAACCGGGATGCTTTGTGCCCTCACAGAAACGCACAAAACCTGATAGTCTTAATGCTTGATTCTGAATATGTCTGTCAGGAAACAAGCGCCAGCCTTCAGCAGCCGCGGCTGCCTGATTAGTCTCACAGTCACTCCACGGAGCTATCAGCTTCCCAGCGTGAAGTTCTCCTGCATCACTGCTCCAAGCCTTTAGGCAAAGGATTCTAATAATGAGTCACAGTGCCGTGACTGAGGCCACACTTCTGCTCTGGTGAGCTGCTTGCTGAGAAGGACTGCATGCTCCC